TATTTTTTTACAGAATGGACTATTTAATGTGAAGTGAGTCATATAGGTGACACTGTATGCAATATATATTTAATACATAGATTATGACTGAAATAAAAATAAATTAAAAAAAAAAAGAAACAAGCCTAAAATTCTACTCTGCTTTCCAAATTTTGTGGCTTTGGTTCAGTACTAACAGACATCATGAGACAAAGTCTTAGCCCTGTAGTTTTGTTTCTAAATAAATGTTTATTCAGAAGCAAAGGAGTAGTCCCACTCCAGTGTCTGAAGAACTTATCTCTGCATAACTGGGTCCCCAGCATGAAGACTATGCTAGCAGAAAAGTTCTGTTCTTGGAATTTAAGTAATAAGCTATTACAAATACCTTGCCATCTCCTCATCTAAAGTGACGCTGTTTTGAAATCTGAACAATCTCCAGCTTTTAATTTGACATGGGAGCGTCTAATTTGGAAATCGGATATATACTAGACTTTATCCTTCACACAACCTGCAACCGAAGGACAAATGAATAAAACTGAGGAAACATTACGGGACAGCCTTGCTAAACTTGTTACTCTGATCTTTTAATGTTCTCCTTTGCGATACTGTCGGGCTAAACTCTGCACTGCTCCCCAGCTGATTTCTCCCGTGATGACACCGCTTGAGTGGAAGGCACATCGGTTCTGGCCATTTCACCTGCCCATCTAGCCCCTAGAACGTTCAGCAGATGGTCTCCGTGCTTCCCTTGCTCTTCATCGCACTGCTGCCTACAGATCTTCAAAGTAAAACCACGAATAATCTCATTTGCAGATACTTCCACTCGGGTTAGATTACAAACCCGATGCTGCCGCAAAGAGGACTCCTCTCTAGCAGGAGAACCCTGCTAGAGTCTCCCGTGCAGGCACAGGAACACCAACAGCGGCTGCATTTGCTTCTTTAACCCACGTTACCAGGTTGTACCGGGTATCTCTCACAGGTGTCACGTAGGCTCCCTACAGCAGTCTGCAAAGACACGGCCAAACCCAGCCTGCAACCCAAACACTGATCTTGAAAAGCATCTGATGGTTACGCCTGCTTCTGAACTTTTTAATAAAAAGCTTAAAAAGTTCATCCTTTGGGATGGCACTAACACTTCTACCAGTCAAACGCTGCTCAAATGACACATCGGTTTATGGAAATTGCTGCTCCCCAAAATTACATTGTTAAAACACGAGGAAGGAGATGGGGAAAGGGGACATACCTGTGATCAAACAGGCGTACGGACAAAAGTGGTGTAACTACTTCCTTTCTCTCTTTCACGTTTATTCTAAAGGACGCGTTTCTGGCTATGCTAAATTCACAACTGCAAAATGGTGTTGTATGACCTAATTACAAAGCTGTAAGGTGAGTATCACATACTTTCTCAAACACATTACATATCAGACTGCTTTGAAAACTTATGGTCTAAAACAATAACCTATGACATGTGGCACATGGTATGTCAAAAGTTTTCTCTTTCAGGCACAAAAATAAACACAGACTCTAGGATTTTGTAAGAGTGAAGACAGTGTTTTCCACTATATAATTTTATCTAGAGCTTCTTCCAGGCTACTTCAAAACATTCTGTGCATGCATTTTGATAAATGAATCAAATATGTGAAAGCAAACAGCATAGTCAAGTAAATAAAAAATAAAAATGAGAGTATTTAAATCTAGCAGGCCAATTTTCAACAGATGGAAAGACTGAAAATTCTCTCATTAGTTAGTAAACCCCAAATCAGTAGCACAGGTTAACATACACACACACAAAAAAATCATACGAGTTAACCATTAAAAAATTGGACCATGTAAATTAGATACGGGAAAAACAGCAAAGGTAAAACGTCACATACTGATGTTGCACAAAAATGCTTTTGTGCAAAAATAAGCCTTAGGTCCAGTTTTGTTAACATCTTCAATAGCTATATGTCTCACATCCATGAAAATTAACAATTACATTGAACCAGGAAGAACTGCACATAAAAGGAAAAAAAATAAAATCTAGTGCCCTCAGAGATTCAAATCTTATAAAACCCAGGATAATCACGAAACAGGAATTAAGTATCTAGCGGCAAAAGAACAATAACAACATACTGAAAGTGAAGAAGAAACTGGAGAAGTCACAATGCTCAAAGTTATTTAAAACAGCTCTCAGAAATAAAGCAATACAATTTGGGTTTGTGAGACACTAGGACAAAAGACCAGAAATTTGGTCTTCCTATAGAAAAGTGTTGTGTTACAGAAGAAAAACAAACAAACAAACAAAAAGTACGCTTAAGAGATTACCTTTAGATCAAGTTCAACAAATCATGCATGTGGAATGGGGTTGTGGGCACTAAGATATGGACAACTAAGCCAAAATGTTGAAAACAAGAAAAAGTTGCATAAAAAGAGCAGACTGAAAAACAGCTGGAAGAAAGTGCAAAGGAATGGAAATATACAGCTAGAACAGGTGCACGCATGCAGGTTCCAAATTATAAAGACAGTGAGGAATATATAAACATGGCACAAAATATGGCTTGGAACACTGGCATGAACTTCCAAAAAAGAACTACTAAACATCACATAAATCCTCCTGTCAGTGAGACGTAATCATTGAAATAATCTTTGAAAAGAAGCCTAATTGTTTAGAACATACATAAAACCTCACTGGCCAAGACAATATTAAAATGTGCATGTCTACAACTCTGCTTTAGCAAGCAGATGGACTAGATAACCTAAATAGCTTTTTCACCCCTAACTCCTATGATGATGTTCAGAAGATCTGACAGGCTCATGCACAATACCCTGCAGTCCTACAAGTATGTGAGCAAGTACAGTAAAAAGACATTGACATCAATTATGAAGACCAGCACAAAAATATATATACTCCACAACCTCTTTGTAAGGCTACATTTGTTTTGTTTTTTTTAAAGGCACCTCATCCTCTAGCTATTGCCAGCTTTTTTTTTAAAAAAAAAAATCACTTTTCAGTTTGAGCAAGAGCTCAACAGTGAGAAGGAAACATCTTTCAATTCACATTTGAACAGCCACTTCGTACATTCCAATTGTAATCAGAATGACAGTCTTTAAAAACAAGCATGCCAGCCTATTAGTTTTATGTACAGCAATTTAAACAACTGTAACTACATATTGTATTGTTTAAGCAAAAGCACAACATTCATTTCATACGCACACCATTATCCTTTGTATGCACAAACTCAAGAGAACTCTTAATACTCAAACATTAAAATGCACCCATGGAGTCTTCCCTTACTAGACACATTTAATACATGTTTACAACATATATACACATATATAATATACATAACTTTTAGAATTTTTCAAATAAATCTTTGTAATTTCCTCTTCAAAAAGAAATATGACACTGAAATAATGAGTCAAGTACACAGAACTCTCACAAAGCTGAACGCTCAGTTTTGCAGCCAAGTTTCCCCCCTTTCCATCATAACCAAAACACTTTATAAAAACTAAATCTGACATTATTGTAGTCATCTGTTTCGTGGTAAAGGTTCTAAACTTATCTATGGAAATATATTGCATATCTATATCATGAAGTGACATATCTCAATATTCTGAGCAATAAAAGGTAGTCCAAGATATTTTAGCAGTAAATATAACATGTTGCAGGCTCAAACAGCACAGGTCAACCTTTAATTCTAAATAATATAGTGGATTTAAATTGAGTTCAGCTTCAAATGTGGTCCCATCCCCAAACGCCACTCTAAAAATAACACAGCCAAACCCTATATCGATATCTCTCAATGATTCCTTTTTCAAAAGTGTCAGTTTAAGGGTAAAGATTTATTTATCAGTTTCCAGTCTCAACCTCAGGCTGGCATGTGGAAGAGTTACACTGGGTTCTTTCCTACTCACATCAGCACCAGAAATCGTCTCCAGCAGAAATTCTGCCTTCCATTCCCATTAGAGGAAAACACTGACTTCAGGCTTATAAGCAGTAATTCCTCTGATGATGATACATAATAGAAAAGAACCCACTCACCTTCCTTTTAGAAGGAATAAAGAAACTAAAATATTGGATTAAAACTTGTCATTCAAAACAACAGAGAAGCTCTGAATATAAAAACAGAGCATATCTGTTGAGTAACTACAGGCCGTAGGTAACCTAATCAATGGCACAACGCATCCAGTGAAGCGGACACATTTAAAAGTTCCACAAATGGTGCAGCTGGGAAACACCTCTAGAAGTAGCAGAACATACTTTGTATAGTTCCCACCTATTGCACTAGAAGGACTCATACAAAGCATCAGGTGGAGGTTTAATCTTCAAAAGAAGTATTTCACTGTTACCCTTAATGCCCAGAATGATACCCTTTTTAGCAGAAACAGAAAGAAGAGATGAATGTTTGATAGTTCAGTTGTAGGGCAGCTTCTCTGGAAAGCTTTGTGATACTTTCTTGTGCCAGGTCTCCAAGTATAAACAGCATTAGAAATCTGAATAAGTTAAATTTGCTACTACAGTATATACAGACTGCTTCAGTCTGTTGTTAACTGGAACTAGACTAAAGGCTCAGCTTCTAGCCACACACTAATACAGTCTTAAAAAAATTATATAAATTTTTTGGCAAACTAAATATTTACTGTGTAACACAGATATAACAAAAACTTCACTGCATTTTAATTTATGTTAGTAATCTGCTTTCTTTTAATTGCATTTACCTTAGACTAGCAGCCAGGTGACTGAGATTAACTATCGGCTACTGTTCCCTGAACAAGATCTAATTTATTAATACACAAGGGATGACAAAGTGCCTCTCACATGACACAGTGATGAGCATGTGAAGTGACGCTTTTTCCAGGTGATTTAAGTACATTACGATTGCTCAATGAGAAGCATCCTACAAAGTTTCCCTCTTTTCCTACTCCCTGATGCAATTAGACCCCTTCTTTCCAGTACTCCATTTTATTAATAGAGAATACATAGACCTAGTTTCACCCAAGGCCTGCCTGGACGAAAATTCAGACCCTCTGAAATAAAAGCATTTATTTTGTTTTTTAGCTATTTGAAACTGAGAGTTTCCAAGCTCTCAGCACCAGCTGAGCTCACAGAAACCAGAACAAACGTCAATTTAGAAAACAGCACCCTGCAAAACTAAACGCTTACAAACATTCTCTGAATTATAGGGCAGGGTAAGAAGATTCATGCCCTCCTGTTCTCTTTTGTGCAGCTGGTTAAATATATACAAAGTTAGAGTTGAAGGGAAGCACTCTGTCATACAAACACTTTAGCCAGGGCATCTGCTCCTGCACTGGCAATGTAACATTTGGAGGGGTGGAATGCCACATCATGAATGGACTCATCAAATTTTTTGCGATGAGCAGTAAATTCTTGGATGCAGGTCTTGCTTTCAAGATTCCACAAGCGAATTGAACAGTCATGACCTAAAGAAAGGGGAAACAGTTTTCCTTAGAGTTCTCATGTCTGCCACCATTACAAGAAAAATAAAATGAAATTGGAATGTACTTACTGCCAGACATCAAATATAGGCCATTAGGATCAACAGCTAAACTTGTAACCGCATCTAAGTGAGCTACCATGGAGTGGATAAGTTTTCCTTTGAAAGAAAAGATTTATTTAGGTCATTTTCTGCAATTCACTTTGTTATCTGTATTCACTGCTTAAACCCTACCACAGCTCATACTATAAATACAAGACTTTATCCCATGACTGAATCATTAAAATTATGCAAGAAGTCATTCTTTTAATGTTTACCTTCTCCAAAGAGCCAGAACACCAGTATCACCAACTTTTTTAGACCTTTGTTTTATGTCTGCAAAACCATTGCAAAGCTAAAAATCACTGTGGATTTTAAATATCCACCTCTTAATTCACTTAAGTGAGTTCAGGAGTAAGATCTTGACTGGGAAGAAGGGTAGGGGCTGAGTACACTAATAGGCAGTGAATATAAACTACATAAGAATATGGGGTAATTTTAGTCAACTAAGAGAGAATTAATGTTCTGTTACAGCCTATTATAATCACAGTAATGATTTAATGTTAAAAATAATAAATCATTACTCAAATGTTGGGAGTTTTTTTTGCAGCAGAAAATAAGACAGAAAAAAAGTGGCCATTTCCTCTACTACTTATTACCAAACTACATCATCAAACAAATCAGCTATTTTCAGCTTTTGCCTCATCTTCCATTGGGTCCTTTCACTTCTTCTTATTTAACATACCCCAATGAGGAGCAGTAAACTAAAAATCAACAAGAATACTGAAAGGTCTTAATTTAACTTTTAAGACAGTGTGACCTGGAAGCAGAGAAGTCACAAACTTAAAATTATCAAGATTCACAGTCAGAATACCATTACTATCAAAAAGTCCTTTAAAACCTAAGAATTTTATTATTACACATCTCAGTGTGACTCTTGCTACAAATGAGAAAAAAATATTATAAGCTTTCCAACTGATTCTGCAGAAGTGAGAGATTTGGAGAAATACAGCAGATCAAGTTGAGAAGAATGCCCAGTGGGGAACTTCTACCTGCAAGTCATCAGGCAGAGGTCTCGGAAGCATGGAAGGAGTGCCAGAGCTTTCTGCTCTCGCATCAAAATAACACAGGCAACGCGATGGAAGAAACATGAACACCAGCCCATTAAGATTTTGAAAAAGCTTCCTTTTATGTTAAATATTGATAAGCCCCATACATAAAGCATTTTACAAGAATGGACAGAGAATGATCATGGAATGGTTTGGGTTGGAAGGGACCTTAAAGATCACCTAGTTCTAATCCCCCCTGCCATGGGCAGAGGCACCTCCCACTCGCCCAGGCTGCTCAGAGCCCCATCCAGCCTGGCCTTGAACACTGCCAGGGAGGGGGCTTCCACAGCTTCTCTGGGCAACCTGTTCCTGTGTTGGACCACCCTCACAGCAAAAAGTTTCTTCTCACATTTGATCTAAATCTACTTCAGTATAAAACCATTATCTCTCATCCTATCACTGACAGGCACTGATAAAGAGTCCCTCCTCATCTTTCCTGCGGGCCCCTTTTCAGTACTGGAAGATGCAGGTTCCTTATCACTGTGCCAATAAAGCTTTAAGTGGGCTGGCAATCTTTGGGCTCTACTGGGTGATGAGCAATTTCTGTTGCAGAAGGTAGCCAGTTCTTGACATTTCGCAGCATTAATGTGAATAATACTGAACATAATGAAATACTGTTTATGTCTTATGTTATACAACCGGTATGACCAGAACCTGCTGAAAAGATGCACACCTGTATTGTTGTCGTAGAATTTGATGTGTCTGTCTTCATGAGCAGTGATACTAATTGGAAGAGTTGGGTGGCTGATGACTCTGTTTATCTGACAGGAGGAACTGACTGCTAAGAAAAAAAACACACGTATCAATACATATAACTTGCAAAGTTCTGTGAAGGACTGCTATTAGGATATAAATATGTAATCAATCTTATTTGCAAAACAATCCTTACCTTTATATAAGGGAAACTCTAAGCTAGCACCTTATGTAATGTGGTTTACTCTAAAATACCTTCCAAATTACACACACACACGCACACACACAAAGGCATACATAAACCATACGTCTGAGTGTAAATACAAACAAGTAAGTTCCAGCTTTTGGCCACAGTTTTAGATGGGCGTATCAGGCAAGAATGTGAAGCCAAAAACTGAGTGAAAAAAATCCTTTTTTTGCACTTCCTCACCTTGACATTCCTCATCTTGTAAAGACAAACTTCCTTCATAATATACAGACATTACAAGAAAATTAACACTGCAGGAAGGATGTTTCCAAGCAAATCAGATCCCAAGTCCTCACCCTCAGAGAAAAACTCACCTACTATTATTCAATATACATGAATTAAAATTCTTATTGAAGAAAGGGATGTTAATCTATTAATGGGAGAGCCATTTTCCCAGCCTTCAAGAACCGTGAAATATCATATGTATACATATGTATGTATATGCACACAAAAACCATAAAGGAGTGTCATGATGAGGAAGAGGATTGTCTCCTCTAAGGTGGAGACAATGCAGCATGGAGGAGAGACAGTGAGGAGCCCTCTTTCTCAGGGAGGAGCTGTCACAGACACTGAATAGTGGCCAGATGGACAGAACACCCCAACCCCTGCCCCCCTTGCACCAATGAGGGGGAGAAGGTAGCCGGGAAGATGAGAAGGGTTGGAGGGGGGAAAGTGTATTTCAGATCAAGTCATATTCATTGGTGTATTCCTTGCAGTATCCTGCTTCGCATCCTCACAGTTTTAAAATGCCAAGCAGAGTGACGCTTACGCTGAACAGTGGAGTCCCTAAGCAGTGGTGGTAGGGCATTTCAGGTGACTCATTTTCCTTTTGCCTAGTTCTTGGATAAATCATTTATTTATTTTTAAATACATGTAAGCTTTATAGCACTGTTACACAACCAAAGATACTCAACAGAGACTGCTGGTTGCCACAACATAGTCTGATTTTCTTAAAGGTATATTGCTAAATTACAGTGAGGAGGAGATTGTGAGAAAAAGAGAAGGGAAAAAAAAAAAAGGTAACTTCCACTGAATAGAAAGAACTGATTTAGGGGCATTTTTTCAGACAGGAACAAAGACGTGAGTTGAAAAAAGAAATCCTGCACAGTAAGGAATAATATAAAGAAGTGAAATGGTACTTTCCATTCACTGTTATAAAATGTCAATCATTTAGATATTTGAAAACAGACAAGCAAAGCCAAAAAGAAGGGCTTAGTCTCTTTGAAAAATATAATTAAACAGTAGAATTCAATGACAAAACTTGAAATTGAAAGAATTATTAAAATTTCTTAAAAGACTGAATGTTTATATTGTTATCAGGTTACCATTTTGGCCTGAATATGAAACCTCATGCTTCAGTTCATTCTGGTCTTTTTCCTAATGCCAGGGTAAAATAACTTACTGATAGCAGGCTCGTTAAGTTTCCTCCAAAACTTCTGATATTGGCCATTGCCATGATGCAAGACATTATACGGGACCTTGCAAACACTCTTCCACTGGAGCTCTGCTTTTCTCCTACAGTGAAAACTTCAACTAAAGCCCAATCGCAAATAAGCCAAGAGAGTATGTAAAATTCAGAAATGAGATACCTCTGAAGAAAACTAAAAAAGAATGCAACATACCCACAAATATTTAATATGTTCAACTTTAGATTTTCCTTGTATTACCCCTATTTTGGACTGAAGAGAGATTGGAAATCTTGAAGTTTCAAAGATAACTGTGCTGTATTAAAAAAAAATAAAATCTTTGCTTTTCCTTGTGCTACTGTTCCCTGAGAAGGAATTCAAATAATGTGGGCTTGTTACTTCTAACTTCTTTCAGAAGTACGTGCACTCTTCTGCTACTGAAATCCCCACAAGGTCTGTTGTAGTAGTAATAATTTACTGCTACATCTCAAAACACAGCTTGTAACATGTTTCATGTCATAATTTGTCATGACATTGGCTAATTTTTTGGAAACCCTGAAAAAAACATCAACAGTACTGACCTTAAACAAACCATTTTTTTTGTTTGTGGTGGGTTTTTTTTTTATACATACCAGTATCCACACTGGACTCCAGGGTAAGAATTCGTTGTCGTGTTTCCATGTTAAAGATGCTAGTGTGTCCACTGTTAAATGATGCTACCATGAGGCTTGGGTCACTGCTCACAAGATCTACTGATGAAGGGATTCCCATTTCTAGAAAACAATGAAGAGGAAAAAGAAACTCACTAGTAAGCACTTTAGTATCATGATCATAAAATGAAACATTACATTTTAAAATCTACATTATGCCAATCTGAATAGATTGTCCTGTATGGTCACTATTTTAACACGATTTTTCTGATATGTGTACCAACAACTTTCTTTACTGAGATGCTGTATCTGGAACTGCAGCTGGACAGAAACCTACTTGGAAATTAAGAAGGTAAGAGCTCCCTGGCCCCTTTTCCTTCCTTCAACTGTAAGAGCATTTCTCAAGCAAACCTCCATTGCATCAAGTAAAAGGACACGAAATTGAAGCGGAAAAACAATTTACACAACAGATAATTTATATTATTATTATTAACCTGGGCAAATTCAGAGCTTACAAAACCTGGAAGCTTTACAGGTGCAAGTTTTATACGCTGACAACGTCAGCATGGTAACTTACATAACTACATTACAAACGTGTATTACAAAGCTTCACCCATCCTGCCTACTGTGGTACACATCTGATCTCCTTACACCACAGCTCTCTAAACACTACGGGACAGAAGGCCAAATCACCACAGCTTGGGCCTAGGAAACACCCCTTAGAATTCTTCTCCACAAATGTCTTGTTCACCACTCACGACGTGAAAAAACACCACTGACTGCAACAGGTGCCAGGAGAAGGAGGAAGGGGTTGGGAGAGAAGACACTGAATGTTAAGCAATCTCTTGCACAGGGATCCATATAATGCAGGAATATCATCAGCTTTCTCTAAACCTAAGATTCATGGGAGAAACATCTTTCTTGGATTCACAACCTCAGGAACGTTGCTCAAGAACAGTGGTACTCAAAGAAAAAGCCAAAAAGGGTTAGTATGAGAAGACGTTTATTGTTTCTGAAGTGATCTTTTCTACCACTGCCACACCTCCTTATCTGCAGCTTCCTGGTAAGCCTATAATCATTACTGTAAGGACTTAAATGATGACTGATAGATATTTTAGAGATTTTGTTCAAGGTTCTCGATAAACCATAGGAAAACCTGGTTTCAAGGGATTAGAAATTCACAACTGGGTTTCATTTCAGTTCGGAATATAAAACCCCCAAAGATTAGTTCTGTGAGGCAAGACTACTCCTCCTTCCCCTTTAATTTAATATTTAAAAACAAAACCAACAACCCCTCCCCAAACAAACCAAACAAAAAAAACACTACCAGAAAGTTTTCAAAGTATACTGGTAGGGAAGCTGGCAGCAAACCAGTTATGTTTTTCACAGAACCCTGCAGACCTTTGGAAACGTACTTCCACAAGAACTAAAATACAATAAACATTTTTACATTGCTCAGTCTACTTTAACTAAAAAGCAATTGCAGATCTGACCAGCTTCACACCATAATTTGCTAAGTCTGTTCAGCTATGCCAAATTTTATTTTGCCTCAAACTTGTTTTGTAGAGCCAAGAAACTGTCTCAGTTCATGGGTTGCCTTTACGACCGACAGCTCTAAGAGAGTTTGACAATGTCAACAGTCTCATTACAGGGCCACTTAGTCAGACAGCACCTTCAAGAAATTAGGCTCTAAATAGTATTTTGTGCATGGCATTTCAGTAACTAAATCCAAAGAAGTGGTTTTTTTCAACTAGCAGTGTTTAGTATGACTAGGTTATTGCTATTTAGTTAATGCACAAGCACAAGAGATTCAACTGAATCTCTCTGTCAGAGGTACAAGGGACAGAACCTGCAAGGTTCGATGACACTGGCTGTTCCAACTTCTGTTGGGGGGAAGAAAGGGCTTTTTATTCTGGACGAAAAAGTGAGGTCTTCAAGTTCAGTTTGAACCTGAACCGTAGAGATGATACGTTATATTCCATGGTTCTAGTAATGTTAGCAGATCATCTTTAGCAGTTCTGGTTTAGATATTCACAACCACCCTCCTGCATGTCAAAGAAGTGAACCCAAATTTCCTCTTTCAAAAAAACATTCATAAAGATATAAAATCCAGTAAAACAAACAAGAAGGATTTCTATTCAGCAGTCAAAATTATGGCAATCTGAACAGTGAGGCTCGTGAGCTTTAAGGTAAGGCAATTTCCTGTACCTTGATTATCATTAAATACACTGAGAGCTGGAGCAATTTCTGTAGCTTTCCATAGACGTATAGTGCCGTCTGCTGAACAGGACAGCAAACGCTGGTGTGCTCCACTGTAAACCAGACCCCACACTGCATCTGTGTGGCCTACAAAAGCACCTCTTAGAACAGAAGGATCTGTGAACAAAACACAAGAAAACACATTTCAAAACAAAATCTTAATTAAGTCAATAGTTATATCTTGGTCTGAATCAACCTTAAGAAGCTAGTCCATAAAAAAAAAAACAAAAAAGAAAAACAAAACAAAAAACTAAACCTAAGCAACAAAACAAAACAAAAACAACAAAAAACCCAAACCAAAACAAAAAAAAAACAAAACCACAAGACCAATCAGGTATTACCAGTACAGAAGCTTCAATTACTCTTGTATGAAGATGCCTGAATTTCATCAGCATACGTGAAAGTTACCCAGTTTACAACTAATGCAACAAAACAATTTCTCAGCGGGAAGGACAGTGTCAAAGTTGACAAAACAGACTTTGACTTTTAAATTCACTCCAAACAACCATCAATGGCACATCAGCCACTTTTTTTCTAAAAGGCATCTTTGAGGCCAACTGCATTTGAAGCTATGAGAAGTGAAAAACGTTTGAAATACAGACACGAGGCTGACATCCATTCAGATCTGGCAAATCTTACCAAAGTGGGTCTTTTTAGCTGTTTCTAGACTACATCAACAGCTTTGGTCTCAGACTATACAATCACTTTTTATCTCAACTACACAGAGATTTATCAAAGAAAAAAGCATTAAAATACACATTTGCTGAACTTCCCAACTACCAGGTTTAGTCCCGTACTTTTTCAACCTAGCTGTTTCTCAAAATTGTCACGACATCAAGACGTTTTATAAGAAAAGGACAAATTTTATCTCCCCATCAACCAGCCTTAAAATAAAAATTCACTTAAAATAATTAAAGGCAAGATTCAATTTCTCTTTTAAACTTTCAAAGAAGCGCTACCTACAAATGATACTGTTTAAGCCATGTAACATTCACGTCACTAATCATATTTTCTCACTGGTGTGTGCAACAGCAACGTACCATAAGAGTCATAGGGGTCGATGTTGGGGTTGGTTGTATTCCAGCCATGGATGAGGCCATCTGTTCCCCCACTGTAACATTGTTCACCGTTACTGCTCATCACCACACAGAGCACTGGTCCACTGGAAGAAACCCCCCCCGAGAAATGTTGACTATTAACATTTCCGTTACGTGAAAAACAGTTGTCAATAGAATCTTCATATTTCCCCATTAGACACAATTCACTTGCTGCACAGACTGCAGCAAAAAAATCCCATAGTCAGATCATATGCTACAACACTGTCCACAAAAAACCCCGCCACAACATTAGGTAACAACTACAATTAGTACAATTTAATCATTATGCTCATGAAATGCATAAAGTGTCACACTTGTAAACTGTAGGGTTTGTTATTTTGCATAAACAGCTTTTCCCCCTGTTTTACAGATCTAAGGCTCTTGCATGAAATCAATTCAGTAGATTTAAATTCACTGCAAACAGCTTCGTTCTACAGACGCATGAATCTGACAAAAAGGTAAAAGCTGCAGTGATGAACAGAACACCTAATCCAATTTGAACTGTATAATCTGTAAGTTTTTCTTTTTAAAACTGGTGTAGTTAGCTCCAGACATAAATAGTTATGGAGAAAGGATATGAACAGATGCAGCTATTTTAAATAACATATGAACTAAAAGCCTCACAAGAGATCACTGGTTGACACAGAGAAAGTTTCTCTAAAAATTAAAAAAAAAATCTACGTCTGTTTCAAAATTACATGTTTCTCAAAATATGACAATGTTTCTCAGGAAATACTCACTTATGTGCTCTGAAGGTATATATTGGCTCTACGTCAAGAGAAGCACTCCTAAACGAAATACAAGAAAATGTTAACACATATACGAGCTAACACAATGCTTGACAAAAACGTGCCAGAATTTCTAAATTCTTGAATCACTGCTATGTCTTTTGAAGCGTTTCTCCTGCAGTTTCCTCTCCCAGTGTGATTTTTTTTTTTAATACGCCTAGGAGTTCTTTGCATTCTTTCAAAATATGAGAGGATTTGTTTGGTTTGTGTGATTTTTTTGTTAAAACCCTTTGAGGTAGACTCAAAAAAAGTACGTGCTTTGCCCAGTCCTCCTAAAAGGTACGATGTACTCCCTTACTGTATTAGCCCCACTCTGAATTTACTCTTTATTTCTGGAAAGCCCAGGGAACATTCAAAAGATAATGTACAAGGGAACCTAGTCACATCTCAGTCAAAGCTGAAAGCTCTACACATGTATATGCACGTATGTGTATACATATATATTCATAGATATATATAAAAATGCATTTTTAGACATTTATATACACATGCAAGTGCACCAACAGGCCACATCCAAGTATTTTCATTAGTAAATGAATGGTTTTCATCTTCACAAACATGCATGGATTTCTTCTGGCACTCTTTAGAAGTCTCAATCTTTCTCTAAGAGCTTGTTTTCCTACTCTCAAATTCAAGAAAGAGTTTCCATTAACTGCAAGGGCCAACCAGTGCAGCGGCATCTACATTTATATTTTTTTTTCATAAATGAAAATTGTTTTTGAAACAAAACAAAACAAAAAATCTTACTTTTTTGCTGGGGCTGTTTTTTGTAAATTCCACATTTTTAATGTATGGTCCTCTGAAGCTGTTATTAAGACTGGTTCAAGCGGATGAAAAGCGAGACCTCTTATTCCGTCAAAGTGACTTCTTAATGTGAATTTGGGGTTCCAAGTCTTTCTCAATGCATCCTTATTGTTTGCTATCTAATGAAAACAAAATGCCAAACTTGCAATTAATCTGGAGGGCACAAGGAGAGGAAGAAATGAGAAATTTAGTTTGGCATTTTCAGAAGATGTCAAATTACCTCACCCACTTTTTGTAACAGCCAGCTCTTGAGCAACGGTCCATTTAACACTGACCAGACGATTCAAAATTACAGCAAAGGTAGATGTATTCCACAAAGGCAACAGGTAATGTTGCGTCCACAGCAACACATTCTGTGCAGAACTGAAATACTCCACGTGTTTGTTAAATTACATAATTTAAAAGCCGAAAAGTACCTTTCTGGTGGATACTGCTGTGAACTCAGTTTGGTATTTGAAATTTGATCTATAGCTACTGGCTCATTCATTAACATAGGGCCTGACTCAGCTAAGCTGTGGTCCCTGAATATCGGAAGCACCACTGACATGGCATCTCTGAAGTAAAGATCTGAGAGAAACAGAGGAGTGTCTAGCAGCACAGAAAGACACACAAGCTAATTTACTCACCTAAGGCAACGCAAGCTCTGTAATAGTAAAGTAAAGCTTGCCAGATTGGGAAAAAAAAAAAAGGTAAAAAGGACTTGGCTACACACTAAAAACATAACTGGCACGCAACAAGCCATCATATATAAAGACATAATTATTTGGCAATAAACGCATTTTAGTATATACAGAAAGAAAACCCTTAAAAAAAAAAACACGTCAACATTGCTCCTCTGAACAAATGTTGATGTAAAATGCTGAACAGATTTCTATCACTTTGTCAGTCAACACTAAATTTACATTCCCATAACCACTGCTGATGGTAGTTACAGAAAACCAGGAAAACAAACAATCGTAACTCAAATACTGATGATTTCATTATGCTGAAAGCTAATGATAATCTCAAAAAATTTAGTATCATTAACTGCAAAGAAGAGACAACTGTTTTGAGCCTCTTTAAGAATCTACATTTTACTCTGGAATGTGGGCAAGGGGAAGGGGGTGAAGGTTTGAGAACAAAAGTGCAAAAAGCACTTCTGGATTTAATAATAAAAATACGCTTCAATAATGACGTTACGTAGATTTTAACCAATGAGAAAGAAGTTGGAAAAAACCACAGGTTTAATCACAACATATTTCTAACTAATTATGTACTGCCTTGCTCAGGGAGACAAGTCCGTTTCTCTGCCAGCTTACTGAGCTGAACTGGCTCAAGGAGGGAACAGACAAATGCTCGAATTACTGCAAGCATGGGGCAAGACTGAAAACTCAGCAGCTCTGGCAGATCTTCCAGAGCTTGGCTGAGAAAGTCTCAGCAAAATGGGTACAGAGTGTTCACAGATCACCTGGAGGGGAATTTGGTTGCCTCAACACAAGCATCTAGTGCCGATTAGTGGACGGAGGGAACCCTGCCTGCACTCCAGCTGCCGTCCCAGCAGCACAGGTCTGGTGTCACACCTGCGAAAGCCACAGGGACACCTCAGACAACCTAATTGGGAACGTCGGTTCAAGCGGGATATTATTCTCCATTTGCTTCTCGAAGACATTCTTCCAAAGGAGTCCCAGAATACTAGTTTATAAATTTGGAAGTAGGTGGAGGGCAGTCTCAGCCAACAGACCAGCAGCAGAGGTGGAAACAGATCCCAGCCCTGAGGCATGGCCAGCCTGGCTCCTTCTCACCCACCGGTCCCTCGGTCTCTCGCAAGCTGCAGGAGGCTGGGTCACAAACAGGGCAGCCAGCCTCCTTTTCTCTCTCCACACTAAAATACAATAGAGAGGTAATCCGGCACTCGAAAAGCAGTTTGGGGAAAGAAGGATGTTCAACCTCCAGATTAACACCTCCTCTGGATTTGCCACTAACAGTCATGCTTGTTGTGTGTGTCCATACAGACAACTCAGAAACTCCAGAAACAGCAATGGTACGCAAGCAGGATTATGGACACTTCTCTTGTTCAAAGTCGCAGAAATTCAAGTAAGAGCCTACCGCAAAGGCCAAAACCTCCAAGTCAGTACACAGTAGTAAATGCAATGATTTTGTCATTCAGATAAGTACAGTACTCAGATTATTGTATTTTTTATGAAGCTTCTTAATCCACCCAGAAGATTAGGGAAAAAAACAAAATCAACCAAACTGAACATTTGTTAAGACAATAACATGTAAAGGAAGGAAAAGATAAACTTGAGAGTATTGGCTAGCAATCTGGGAAATTCCATCATGTTATATATTCTTAAAAAGTTACATGCAAAAGAAAAATTTTCTCTTTTAGGTAATAAATTCATGATCTCCATTGCCAAGTGAAAACCATTTTTTAATTTACAGACAGCCAAAGCAACATGTAAAAAAACTTAAACCACAAAATGAGGTAGGCTAATGCTGCCATGTTTTATAAGAAAATAAATCAGTAATAATCTCAGTGGGATGAAAGGGACTGAATGTAGCAAAGTGTCTGCAACTCTTGGAAGTGAATATATTTAGATAAGAGAATCTTTCAACTTCATTCTCCATATGATTCAAAACTGACACTTAAAAACCCAACTATTTCCATTAATCCCACTCGAGTCACATATAGCAGCTGGAAGAAGGTATGAAATAGTCCAAAATAAAAACAGATTATATGTAAGATAAATTTCCAGTGAAATTTGAAATGGAAAAACTAGTCTCATTTTGTTCCATTAAAGAGTACAGTGGTAAGTGCAAGGAGTTTTGTAAACAATCTTTTTTTAAAGAAAAATTGCCAGCACTACAAAAGGGTAAGAGTTGAGGTAAGCATGACTATGAATTCCTGATGTCAGGATTTCATAAAGGCATTTATCAAGTGAACAAACAGAAGTTAATATTCTTAGCCATGCAGAATAGGATAGGGGTAAATAAAGAAATGCTAGATTCCATAAACGAAAGCTGTTAGTTCAGGATATGTAGACACAGACAAACACAAGCTTATATGGACACTCAAACAATGAAGTCAAGCGCTGAAAGCAGTTAAAACCTTGTACAGATGGTTTAGGTTTGTCATGTCCTCCGAATTTAAAAATTCAGCATCTAAGTTTTAGGTGCAACTATAAAATAAATGAACTTTGTATACCATCTTACCTCCTTATGGAGACAAAGTTAGGGAAGATTAGCAAAAGTATTAAGAGGCAAACCCAAATTAGGAGACAATGCTAAAACATTGCATTTTAGCAGAGATGATCTGTATCATTTTAACCTTGACGATTCACAACACATTACATGCTCAGAAACTTGCTACAGTAGTAGAGCATATCTCTGCAGCACTAATTTCAAAATGCATGTAAACTTCTGTTAACTATGCAATTTATTGCTTCAAAAGTACATACAAGGGTAAACTTCAAAGTAAGGACCTGCAGGTTATTTCTGAAATCTCAGATTTGATTTCTGGTAAGTAATCATTTTTCTGGGATTTTATTAAGAGTCATATTTACTGAAGGATAGAATTCTTCCCCAACATGCAATACTAAAAAATTATCTCTGAAATCCCTCAGCCTTGGTAATGAAATAGCAAGATTAATCTGAAGTTGACAGATCACAAAGGAGCGCATGATTAAAGCAATATCTGAAGTATATTTTCACAAGAAATTGGACATATAGACAAAAATTGCATATGACTGCAAACAAGCAACTTTAAGATAGATTTTTCATAGCAAAGAGAAAACTCTGTCATCCTGGTAAGCATCCTCCCAAGAGCTGCAGGCTGCTGTTCGAGCAGCCCTTAGCCTCCCAACACCTCAATGAGACTAGCTCCCCCAGCACTGCCTCGTCAGTCACACGCTACTGGACTCTCCCTAAGCTCTCCACAACCCTCTTGAAGTGGATGGGTCCAAAACTGCATAGAGGTATGGCCTCACCAGCCCCGTGAAGAAGGGACATTAACTTCTCTCAATCTGCTGGCTGTGCTAATTCTCATTCTGGTCGGCGGCACCAGAGTTAGAAGTACCCAGCTGTATCACTATCACTAACTGCATTTACTTTCAACTATTTGAATGACATGACAGGCAAACGAGGAAGGACGGGGCTTCCAGAGAGCTTGAAGGCTGCTGTGTATGGAAAGAATGGGTACATCAAATAAAAATCTGTGATATCCTCTGGCAGCATAATTTTAACAGGAAAATGTTTTTCCGCTGAGCCTACGTAAATGCAGCTTGTTAGGACCTTGAGTTACCATTAATAACCACTTACATCATAAGTCAGTGAATCTGCCTCATTGGCTACTGTAAGGCCTGCCAGTTCTCCAAGACCCAGCTCATTTTCAAGGGCTTCATCGGCTCCCATAATGAAAGATTTCCCTGAAGAAGGAGGGAATGTTAAAGCTTCCACTGCAAGAAAACAAAACAAAACAAAAAATCGTGAAATATGGGTTTATACAATGTTGATTAATAAAAGCATGTTTTCAACTTCCAAAATACTAAACATCGCTTAAATAGCTGAGGGCAAAAAGATAGAAAAATATGCAAGAAATCATCCATTCTAAAGATAATCACTGTACTTAACGGTATCCTCTGCACAAAATACTTACACTTGAGGTGTGAATGACTCAAGACAGTAAGTGTAATTAGCCACAGGAGGGAGGAGTACATTACCACTAACCCATCTATAACGCAAAAGTAACACAGAAAACCTCAGGCCCTTCTCCAGCTCTGCTGTAAAATACACAAACAGGCCCTGGAGAAGTAGCAAAGACGTAGACAAGTGCAACTGGTGGGAGCAGCTGGACTCTCCCTTCCTAACACCACACCCACACATGGCCAAGAGCACGTCCACAGTGGAGCTGTCCACACACAGCAATACGACTGGAAGCTGACAGTTCATCGCTACTTGGGAAATTAGTTTAGCTGCCAAACAGGTCAGTCCACACTGAATTCCAGGTTTTTACCAGCAGTATCCAAACTTGCCAGTACATAGCTGCGACAGCGTGCCTAGAGGAGTTCCAGTCACTGCAACACAAACACATCCATGCACAGATTCACCAGAAATGGGAGGACCAAAGGCCACGAAGAGTACAAGTTCACACACTTACACCACCTAAGGCTCTGTATCAAGTGGTGTAACTCAAAAGAAGCCATGCTTTTACCAACTTCCCTGTTCCAAGAGCTCTCCAAGTCTATACATCACAAAGCAGGGACTAAATAGATGAATGTGTGTTATCTTCCAAACACAAGAGACTTCACATACTTTTATACACCTTTGCCTCAAATTGCAAGGGTTTTTCAGTAAATTACAATTTCCCCCGCTCCTTTCAGCTCTAATACAAATACAAGCCTTGGCAAATACTGTTGCTACCAGGGAGAGAAAAAAGGCAACTCCACCTTATTCTCAGGGTCTTATTTAGTCTAGACACCACAAACACTAGGTTAAAACCAAGCAAACTATGGTTTACAATGAATAGCCTGATCCGTTCAGGCTGCTTCCCACTTATCCAGAAGGAATGAGGTTCAGATTTATTCAATTCTCCTCCAGTCCACCCAGCATAACAAAGAAAGCTAATCTTTCTGTGGTCTCTCTGTTCCACACTCATACCTCTACTGAGTGTCCTGTTTGTTTCTATTACTTTTTATAAGCAAATAAAAGCTCTTCAAGCTCTGGCATTTGATTAGGTCTCTTATTATTACCTTTTAATCATCAACATCTCTTACGTTCTTCCCTCTGAAGTCTTAACTAGTGTTGTCTTTTTCTCTCTTTTGAACTTACGATGTAATATTCCACTCAACACACAATACATACAGGGCATCAAAGTTGAAAATTTTTTAGAATACAAAAATTATGTGCCAAAAATATCATAGTCAATCAGATTTATAAAGGAATACACAGCTAATAGACTGTTAATACTGAACTCAGACTGATAACAATCAGCTGCCCTCTTCTGTTTCTGTGAGAGTCCATTTGAGTCTCTGAATCAAAAAACCCTATTTTTGAAAGAACATGACAATAAAGCTCTGCTAATTTGGCTCTCAGTACTCGTGAGAAAAGTTGGAAGGGAAACATTCAACAAAAAATTCCTCCACTTCTCAAAGTGTTGCTCAGTTACCCCCTTCTTTCCTAATGAAAACCACTGAGCATGTAGGAAATAGAACTACTGAGATCTTTGGCGACTATGCCACAAGCCAGGGCCCTCTATGCATCTTAATTATAACTTGGCCGACCTACTTTTTGCACTCACTGACTGGTAAGCGTAACACACGTTTTGCTCATTTTTCACAACACATTTTTACCACTTATATAAAGAGCACATGATATTATCTTCTACAAATTAATATAGCCTCTTTTTTTTTATTTTACATATTATAGCAATTCAAATGGTGAAACAAGTAGATGATCTGGCAACTTTCAGACATAATACTAACAAAGGCAACTACATTCTTCATTGCAAAGTCGCAAGGTCTTCCACACTTGGACTAGCCGCTGTGAGAATTTTTTTAAATTACTGGAACACACTATGGAAATTAATACACTGGCAAGCTCTAAGTTGTTCTGCATCATTCACTACACAATCACTACATGCATTTAAAAGCTATACCTAGCCACTTGTGTTTATCTGTGGAGCCTGTATCTTAGCACATAAAAGGGAACATGTGTGAGCATATACACATACATACAATACACTTCAAATTATGTTCACAGGGAGAAAAACAGATGCTCTTATGTCCTGAGAGTTTATGTTCCACATTTGATTGCCAGGCCTGAGCACAAACAAAAGCAAATGACTTCAGATCCTCATATTACAAAGCCGCCAAGTGTCAAATGGGTTTTTTCCTCACGTTGGAAGGTAGTCAGCCAAGACTTAACCTCAGTAAGTGTCTTAGTCTTACAAATAGTGAATGGAGGGGGAGGAATAGGAACACTATTTATCACACTCAGAAAGAGCTCATAATGCTGTATCAGTATTTGTAGAGTGCTTGGAAAGTCTTAGAGGATAATCTTTAAGCAGAAGTAACTATAAATATCTACCCTTTACAAAGCTGTATGTACATTTTTAATACTTACCTTCATCCGTCCTGTTTATCTCGTGTTCGATGAGCCTTGAGCTACTGGGCCTAGAAGAAGGTGCGACAGATGGCTGTAACGAAGGGAGATCATCAACATCTCTCAAGTTTGCAAGCATATCTTGCAGCTTGGACCTGTTGGGCCCTAACCAGAAAAAAACAAAAAATTAAGTGGTTTATTCATAGCTCATGACAGCATTACTTATATCAAATACGCTACAGCAGCACATGCAACAATGGATCCTACCTTGTGCTATAACACTACCACACAAAAAACTAATGGGCATGTATTTTCAGCAACAACTAATCATCCAGCATGAAATGAATTTCTTGAAAAGAAAGTGATAGAAGCAACTGAGAACTGTAAATGCACCGTTTTCCCCACATTTACAAACTCATACAGCTACTTGCATGGGATGTTGAGGAATGTCTCCAATTGAGTCACACTGATTATGAGGATATCTACTTTTCCAAAACAAGAGCTGATATTTGTGAGTACTTTAAAATTTGTGCATTGGGTACTTTGTGCCACATTCTTATGACAACATGATTATTTTTAATTTATTTGTGCAGTAGTAGTGTAGTATCATGAACTACGTATTCCAAAAAAGTTATATTAAAATATAAACGCAACTGGATTCACTGGCCTACTTCCTGAAGCTACATATGGTGAAGACCCATGCCCTTCTCGACACTTACCTGTGCTTTGCTCCATCATTTTCCCACATCCCTGTTTTGACTGTTTTATATAGGATTGAGGCTGAAACATATCTTCGGTAGTTTTTCCTGTTGTAAGTTTAATTAAGAATGGGAAAATGTCTTACCCATAGTCCATTATGTTTTTTCCTAGACCAGTAAATAATACAGCTATTTTTAAGCAGCTTTAACACAGAAGTGTATGCTAATATATGTATTCTCTCACAAACCATTCTATGATTCCATTCTCTTATTACTTCACAGGAGTGTTTACTACAGCCTTGCAAAATCGTAAGTTTGCTAATGCAGTTGAAAACTCCACTTTGTCCACCCTAACCATAATGACTGTTAATAAACTAAATTGTATTCAATTTGATTTAGGAAAACAGTAAGTAGGATTTTGCAAGATTGTTTTACTATAATATCCGAATTATAAAAACATTTTACTTATTAGAAATTCAGTGTCTAAGCACCATTTATGAGATTAAAGTCATTGAAGCAAACTGTACAATTTAATGTGAAGATATCTAGTCCCTCCTTTTTCCCCGAACTTCCTTCCTCACATTCTGCTCCACTACATGCCACATCATGAAAAGCTAAAAACAGGCTGTGATTCTTCTCGATTGTTCTACTTCAATGCCCTTCCAATGATGCTTTGCCCATGGAAAGATGCTTAATTTCTGTACTGCTGTAAACCATTTGGTCTCCCAAGATCGAACCAATCAAATCAATCCAAAAGGTGCTGTAAATGGACTGAGCAGTAGTCACCTTCATGAAGGAGCACTGGATGTCCAAGTGCCGCCTTATATCAGGATTTTTCTCATAATTATATAAAACGTGTTCCAATATTATCTTTTTCTATGATTGCAATTAAATATTAAGTTTTATTATCAAAAATAAAAAGCACTCAACAGCTGTTCAGGAATGTAATTCCAGCGTTTTGATTAAATAATTTCTGCTACGGTAACCTTACAACTATTTACCCTGAATTACGTAGCACTTCTGTGTATTTAAAAAACACAAGACAAGTTGCAAAAATCGATTTCACTGAAGTCATATATTGGTATGCCCTCTCTGTCTTACCTACAAAGAAATTTAGAACCAATTTTGTGAGACACGAACACTTTAGTTGGCTAGCGCAGTCTCTTGACAGACTTGCAGTTAATTTCTAGTAACTTAAATGATTCCAAAGATGACCAAAAAAAAATTTAAAAAGACCACTTGAGAAATTTCAAGTATGGTAATGATTTATTTCTTTTCATAAAAAAAGGTTTCATTTGTGTATTTGATAGCATAATTTCAGCAACATAGCCAACTGCCGAGCAGCAGCTAATTACAGTATCAATACAAGAAGTAGCAAAACAAGTCAGCCTCAACAACGTGAGGACGTGGCAACACCTTTTGCACCCTTACATGTGTCTCTCCAAGCGAGAATTTCCTTGCTATTCATAAGCATCTTCCCACAAAGGGAGGAACATCCCTCGAACTTCCTACTGGGCTACATAAAATATTATTAATTTACATCATTCACACATGAATTCTCAACATGGTTAGATGTTGGAAATGTAGCTGTGAATGTAGTGTTTCATTTTAAACACTTCTGAGTCTAAAACATTTGCAAGTTTACTTATCAAAAAACATTGATTTGTATTTCAAGAAATTTAACAAAAACTGAATACAGGGCTAGAAACTGTATTTCAGATACTGATCACAGTTTTTTGTTTGGATAACAATACCCAACATTCTTAAAGGCTAGTCCCACAGGTATGAAAGTCAATAAATAAATCCTGTGATTTACAAATAAACTGATGGTCAGAGTTGCTTCCTATTTCGAGCCCTGCATAATAAATTATGATGACAGCATGACTTTCATGTTGTGAATGTTAAGTATAAACAGGGGTAGAAATTAACCTGTTTTCTCCCTCTGCCATCTGAGAAGATACCAAGACAGCTTCTGTTGTTTTTTTTTATTTTATTTATTTACATACCAGATTTTAACTCTTCCCGTCAAACTGGCATGTTTCCAGCTAAGAAAGGGTTCTGAAGTCCTCTATATTAAAGCATGAACTATTAAACCAATGCCTTTTACAATTTCAGTTTCTGAATAACAAAGGTATAATCCATGCTCAAGGCAAGATTTTTTTATTATTCCAACACCTAGTCGGAAGAAGTTTTATCTAATCCAGCTATTTATCAGGTAGCTTATTTGACTGTCATTAATTTCAACCCCTGAGAACTGGTGAACAGGAAAGCAGTCAGGAGCAGCAAAGTAAAAGAGTAAGTAATTTTAGGAAAACATTGAAAGAGAGATAGAATTAAGGGTGTGAAAGATGCGAGATTTATGAATTTAAGGTGCAATGTTTTCCACTTACTCTTCACCCCCTTTTTCCCCTTGCGCTCCTTTTTGTATTGTTCCTTGAGTTTGGTTATTACTCCCTGGTCGACATTCCAAGCTTCAGGCATGAGACACTGGTCTTCCTTTTCTAAACAAAGTGAAACAAATGAAACATCCTTTTTCAATAATGTCACCAAGTGATCTCCACTGAAGGAGGTAACAGCTGCTGTCAATGGCATTTGTCTTTTATTTTAAACAGACGGAAATAGCATCAAGCTTCTGAAAGCTGTAAAACTGCTACTCACATTCCACTTCTATTTGCTCAGAATTTTCTTAACAGAAAATTGAGATGAAATTTCACATCTCTACTTTCTATAACCAAAGCACATATCTGTTCATAAATGTTATCAATCTTTATAATAAATCAGGACATACTTTTCAGCTTTTCTTTCCTCCAGAGAAAGAATCATTTTATCTAGAGCCAGCAGGTATGTTGACCATGTTACTGGTCAGCATAACTTTACCACTCAGACATTGCATTAGTGCCTTTCAAATTCTCATTTCACTGTCTTTGTGCCACATTGTCATTTACACAAAGCAGTAGCACATTTAAATAATTTTGTAACATAATGTACATGTCACCAAGGTTTGAATAAAATTAAGCACTAAAAAATTAAAAATGAAGCACTAAACCCATGAAATCTCACAAAAAGAGGAAGGTCTCAGCTATTAACCTTTGGAAAAAACCCCTCACAAAACATTTCAATGTGTCTAGTGAAAAAAAATTATTTTTTTTTAAACATGTCTCACAGATCGCTTCCCTTGTTACATGATACAGAGAATTATCCTTTTAAGAGTACAGTCTTTGGAGATTGTGAACAAAATATGTTACTGAGGTCAAACCTCCAAGTCATTTTTTCCATATATGGAAAGACTGTACTGAGGTAGCTTACAAAATAATTTGTAAGGAGCTTTTTCTCATATATATTTATTTTCATGATCGTTAGAGCTAGAAAATGTTTTGAAATGCATTCTCTTCTTGCTTTGCTTTCCTCATTAAAATCTCAACCTTATTATTTAAAAATTAATTCCCTTCAGAGCAAGTCTGCTTTGTACATTAAACAAGCTATTCTAGACCTTTTAAAATATGAACAATAATAAACTTATCCTCAGACTAATATGCAGAAAGCAAATTAAATGTCTCTACAGGAAGCACAACACTATCAATCACAACCTGAAGAGTTCACTATGATTGGGCAGAAGATAGAAAACCAGACGTGGGTTATTATGGGGACTGACTCGCAAGAAATCACCCATGCTGAGAAAGACCTTGGGATCCTCCATCAACATCAAACTGAACAGGAGTCAGCAGCACACTCTTGCAGCAAAGGCAATCAACCAAACCCTGGGCTGTGTTAACAAGAAGGAAGCCAGCAGGGCGAGGGAAGTGATTATTCCCCTCTGCCTGGCACCTGTGAGAGCACACCTGGAGAACTGTATCCAGTGTAACACTTCTGACGGGGAAGCCTTGTCAGTGTTACGCTGAGTACCGAGTACTGACCCCGTAGGGCAAGCCCAGGGGAGCCACCAAGACGGTTCAGGCCGCTGGAGCAGATGCGCTACAAGGAGGGGCTGAGACAACTGCACGTGTGTTCAGCAAAGGCCAAAGAGGCATCTTGGTGCTGCCTACAACTAGCTCACGGGCAAGCATAGAGAAAACAGAGACAGGCTCTGCTCGGACTTGCCTCACAGAAGGACAAAATACTTCTTAGCACAAGGACAGACAAATACTGCCCCAAGAATTTATTGCAACTCCTTTGCTGGAAGATATTCAAAACTTGACTGGAAGAAATGCCAGAATAACCTGCTGCAAATGGACCTGAGCAGGAGGCTGGACCAGATGATCTCCGACTGCTTTGAACCCTTCAGTCACAATCCTACACTCACAAGCAACAGACTAATTCAAGACCCAAAGCCCTGAGACATAAGTCTTTCTGAAATAGTTATGAAAATACAGAGGTATTAATAAGCCCAAGCGAGACTCTAAAAAACCCACTCCATGGGCAAAAGCAGGTCCTCACAATACACATGCCCAATTAAGTACCACTAATGATCAAATATTACATGAAGAACTCAAAAAAAGGATGAGAAAATCATGCTTGAGAGAAACAAGTACGTATTCTTTCTGAGAAGAGCTTCTAAGTTTTTACCATGCTTTTTCCTCCCTGACTAGATGAGATTTTTTGCTCTCTCCTCCAACAGTTTAAATGGATTTCTAACAGACTGTACTGTTGCCAGGAAGATACTTAATATGTTAATTTTCTACAGACTGTCCCAGGATGTTTCCTGCATGTCCCACAGGTTCTGTTCAACTTCACAGGTAGATCCTGAACTACTCCTGTGCAAGCACTTTATACATTAAAAATTATCTGAACACTTCTGAGGACCTTTCAAATCAAATGGGTTCAGATCACTGTAACTTATCAGTAATGCTCAAGATCCAAACTGAAGTGAGGACTTCCTCTGTCTGCTTCTACCCTTGCTACACAACATCATTCTGCTATGCTACATTTAACAATTCCACTTAATTCAAATTAATGTCATTCATAATGGCAGTTCCTTGAAGATTAATCCTATATACAGTTACCATAAGAGACACAGAATGTGCAACAAGTAATTAAAAAATATTAATGCCTATAACTCAAAAAACCCCTTAGATTTCTAGAAACGAAACTACTACTTTCCATGATTATTTATTTTTAATGTTAGACTTTTGCTCATCTGTACTTAACTGCCATTAACTAAAGTAAAAATAACGCGGAAGTGAGAATTTGAGAACAAAACCACTCCTGTTGGAATGCTAACTTTTTAGTGACACGGGCAATAGCTACACTGAGCGAGCATAAATGGGTTAAATTTTAATTATGAAGTATCAGAACAACCCAGTGAAAATATTTTTCATGAAGAAGAGTAACATCCCAGAATTTGTTTATTGAACAGAATACTGACTGTTGTATCTAACAATACCGAGACACACCCTCTTAAAGCAGGGAGACTACACCACACTGAACAATAATTGCAAGTCCAGCCGGGAGCTGCACATGGCTGCCGTGAAATACAGCACCTCTCCCATGAGAGCCACAGTGACCGTGTCATATTTGTCTGTCAAGGTTTCAGTTCCATTATAAAGCTCAATTATTTCCCATTCAACTTCTATAGGCTCCCTCTGTATCCACTCATGCTTAAGACTTTCCAGAGCAGCTTAAGGAGGAAACAACTCCCTATCCTGGTATTTAACCAGCTCTCTTCCTTCTTCCCTTCCCTACGCAGTGAGTTTATTTGGAATAATTACGCCAAGTTCAAGTGGATGCTAGCATTCTGGGTGGCAGGACATGAACCTCAAAGGACAGAGAAGAGTTTGTGAAATGTCTCTTTATGACTAGGGGGCTTAAAGATATATTCTTCTGATAAATTATAAAAGAAAATTTGAGCAACTGAGTACTTCATACCGCCTAAGTTGCTAACACTCAATGAGAGTACAGCTAATTCAGTCTTTAAGACTCAAAGATGACAAAATAACTTTCATCTCATAATTGGAAAATACTGCCCTTCACTAGCACAGGTCACTGGGAAAACACATTGAAATTCCACTCATAAAATTCAGTTATACCTGCCTTTTTATTAAAGGAAAAAGACAATGACCAGAAGCATAAACCTTTAAGAATCCTTACATCACAGCATGTTACAAAAAAAACGAGAAGCGGATTTCAGTCTGCCTGTAATTTACTGTGGGAATACTCAAAAGGTGTTGTGGGCATGACAGAGATCACAATCAATCAATCAATTCTTAGAACTCTTTTTTTCCCTGATAGAATCCATTAAATTTCCTTACCCCAGTCTGTTCCATCTCCTGAACTTCTTGATTCCCCATCACCTTCATCAGAGGTAACCAAAAAGTCAAACTCTTTCAAAGCTTCTTCTGTATCTCTGTCTTCGCTGCTGTCAGACAGTGCTCTTTTTCTTACAATCTGAAAGGTCAAGAAGGAGAGAAAAAAAAGTTGAACTAAATTATAGGCATATCTTTATAGTGAGCAATATTATCTTGTCTTCTATGCAAAACCCTAACAGGAAGCTGAAGACACAGAAAAGTATACATTAATACGCAAATCTGGAATAAGCATACAGACTTTCTTCACCTTCCCAAGTCAAAATGAAATTTGTCTGTAGATCTTTCTTCCTGTGACCACCAATAATCAATCACTTGATAATGAATCTACATTGGCCTAATCCACTACTATTTTTTTAATAGCAGAAAAGTACAAACTTTCTCTTAAAACAGATATTTTTAAAAAAAAACACAACATACAAAACTCACAAACAAAAAACCCAGAATGCTGTAGAAAGGTCTTCAAGGAAAACTAAACTCACTATGCTCCTCTGAAAATAGCCTTTTTTAACTCTCACCTCTGAAATCACTCTACATGTGGACCAAAAGGCAAGGCTAGGAAAAAAAAACCACAGGAGCTAATTTGCTTAGATTTGGCAAAAATCATTTAACTCAATAACAATAATATCTGAGGAAATATTCAAACAAGGTACTTCCATGTTTAAAATGCATTTCCCTTTCAAATCAAAGGACAATTTTGTTAAAAAAATTACCAAATGTTGGTAAAAGAAAAAATACATGTTTTAATTAAGGACTTCATTGTATGCTTACTACAATACATTTACTTTTCCCCCAATAATCAAAATGGCCTAGATGCCTTAACATTTATTTGACTAGAAGGTGAGGTGATGCCATGAGACATGAAATCTGTAGTATAAATTTTACTTTTCCATTAAAAAAAAAAATCACATTCATCAGAATATTTTGACTTGGAACCTTGCTATGGGTCAGTCTGAAAAGACTTCAGTACACAGTCAAACATCCCATAGTTGATGAGGACGAATTAGTCTCCTCTAAATACAATGAACCAATTGAAAAACCTGAAGCAAATCTAAACGTCAAACTTCATTCTTTCAGCAGGCTTACTGAATATACTGTATTACAAATGATTTTACAAACATTAGTTCATAGTCCATGGATGATAGGAACAAGTTTACAAAGATCCTCATTAAAACTGATGGGGTTTTAAGTGTTCACTCTTAAAACTGATCATAGAAGCAATCACAGCCATCCTAACTCTTATCTGCTTCAATTGTTAGGAAACATAACTCATCAAATAAATACTAATTTTGAAAAGAAGAGGATAAAATTGAGTACTGATTCTATGTATTTTATGTAATCAGGTGACCAAGTCATACAGCAAAGTACAGATCATGAGGGAGTTTCAGGTATTTGAATAAACCAACAGAAAAGTTTATTAACCACATGTCAGAGGTTTTCCAGTTATACTTTTTCTTCCTTCCACAAGCTATTTAAAGAGAAATGTGGTATTTAAGCTCTATACCCCACAAGGAAAAATTTCTACAAGTCATTTAAAATACTAATGCATTTATATAAATATCCAAGAAACAATGCATTTTGACATGCAATGTTACAAACAATACCACACACTAAGCTGGATATTGTAAAATAATGACATCCACTACCTTAAAAATTGTATCCAATATATATCAAAAATACTAGGCAGTATGGAGTAGTAAAAAGACAATTTAAAAAAATTTAATCTGTCACCACAAACCCAAAGCAATTAACGATGGCAAAGCTCAACTTGTATGCACAGACTCGGAAATGCATATATAATTCCTCTTCTGCACAGATGCATTAATGATTTGCACGTGTACATACACAGTTATATACTTTGCATATAAGCATCTCATTAATCTCACTTTTTCTGTTCTTCGTAACTTTTTCAATTATTTTTTTCCACTCACTGTTGCGCTGTCAATGACTGTTTTCTCTCTTCCTTCAATATCTTCTTCATCTTCTTCATCACTGAAGTCTGCAGCTGCATTTTCAAGAAACTTGAAGGTCTCTAGCAGAGAGGCAGAGTCAGTCAATTCAGGTTTCCTAAACAACAACAACAACCACCATAATGAGTCAAAAGAAATCATAACAAAGTCACTTGTGCAGTTATCAGTCTGTTCTACGTTATGATGTCCAATAACATGAGACTAAATTAAGCCTACCAGTAAAAATGGACTATTACAGGTAAAAATGTTTGTGGATTAAAAAACCTAAACGTTATCCATAAATTACCTTGTTAGAACCAACAATTTTTCTTCATCTAGATGCAGTTACCAGGACAGACACTTGAATTTTTTATTTGAAAAGCATTTTTAAGCAATATTCATCTGATATGTGCCCAAAACCAACATCAATACTGATACACGATCATTGAAAGCCTCAGCATCAAGGACATGAGTTACAGCTATTAACTTGGCCTCCCATGTGTGCACCAGGGTACAGGACAACTTTGGTGCTGCAGCTGCTATCTGATGTTCTGCACCTTGCTGGGAAACATCAAGCTCTAGATCCATAATTCATTAACTTCTGAGTCATGGTTAATTTGCCACTATAAAACAATATAATGGGAAAATATAATTGATGACTAAGTAATGTTTACATAGACATTAACATTAACCAAATAAGGAAACAGATGAAGATTGACTAAAATTACAATCGCACCATCACAAGTTCACACAGTGCCTCAGAACAGGAAGCACAAGGGTTGACCTTTTAGCAAGTGAAGAGGAAGAATCCAAGAAGCAGGACTGTAACCATTATTAAAACTCTGAAGAAAGTACAATAAAGCAATCCTAAAGTTAACAACAGGTACAGTGTTTTCTATACAGAAGATGCACTTCATCAATCTCTCAAAGATAAAGCGGTGAAAAAAGAAAATAACATTCTCGATTACTTCCAGTAAAGCCTTGTACATTCTTTGTATGACTTCACAGCAGGAAAGACAAGCTTCATTGTTTCCTTACCTTTAATCAGTGGTCTGGTTTTCATAGTTCACCACTAAAAGCATGTCATCTTGATTTTCACAACCACTGAAACAATAGAAGCCTCTCTCTCTTTTCATAATTGTAGCTCTAAATTGTCATGTGCAGTCACCTTTACTACCAGGAAGGACCTTGATAATACTACATTTTGCTTCTGCTACGACTCATTTCAAAAGGCTCAATCGACTAACAAGCGTACACTACAGTAAGGCATTTTGAACTCCCTGCAGTGTAAACACCTGGTTATCTGTCAATCACCCACTTATTCCAGTGTTTCTTCTTAACACTTCTCAAAGGTTTATTACAAGAAACATCCGAGGGCAAAAGCGCTGATGTGCAACGAGGCGTGAAAAGCAACACACTTCCTTCTTTACGCAGCCTCTGCTCAAGATTCTTCATAGCCCCAGTATGCCTGCATCTCATCAAGACATTCTGCTATTCTACTCTTCTTCATTTACTCATCTTTACAGCTCAAAAATACCAATAAAGATTTGACTTGCCAGTAGAAATGGTTAGATATATATATTATAGCCTACCTTGGCATATTATAATGCCTCATGAATCTGTAGTAATAATATACATTTTCACAGAAATCCCATGGTACTGTTATTTTGCTGTTTCCAACACAAATCTTGTTAAGACAAAGCTTGCTCTGTGCTTTACTTCTTGATTTTTCAGCAAATTTTGTGTGTTCTGGTCAACTTTTAGCAAACTAAATCAACCAACCACAATTGTATTCCTTTTTTTTTCACCTGTATTTTGCTGAGTAAAAATTCACCATGTATAAACATCATGGCTGTTATTTATATTAGCAACTATCAGACATGCTACAGTAAAAAGCAATGTATGAACTAATGCTAACCATTGAATACAAACTTTCAATCAACAGAACTTGTTATTAAGAGACAGATATCCTTCTACAGATACAAGTATCTGCAGTAATTCATACCCACATTTCGTTCTGTACTTATCTGACCTTAAAACAGGCTCTCTCAAACTTGAAGTTCAAAGTGATCACCGAGAAAGTTATATCTTCTTTAAGTAATTGGTCTGAAATTCAACTATCATATTAATATTTATATTAATATTTACATACTTTAGCAGCAGGATATATACATCATTGTGTATCTCCATTCACATGGGGAGGTGGGGGGCAAAAGGTCTCTCACACATTGGGAAACGCAATCATTTATCATGTATTTCAAAACTCGTGCACAGTACAAAAATGTGCAAAGTCAGCACAGTACCAGGGAAGATTGTTTGTGCCAAGGCACTACTTCCAAGAAAGAATTCATAAGAACCAAAAAAGAAGAAAACAGAAATGACAGAATATTTAAACTACTTAAAGGTTTTACAGGGAGAAGTAGCTTCAAACCGACAGGTTGATTTGCTCTATTGTACCCCAATACTTTTTATTTGACTGCTAAAGTGTAACTCAATCATTTAGCTCTTTTTCCTTCAGCTGTTTTTCATCCTTTAGGAGCACAGAAACATAATGCATTTTAGATATTATTGTAAGTGTGAACACTTAGGAATACTGTAAAATATACTTAAAGTGTCTAGCCTCAGCTAATTTATGTTACATACTTTGATGGCAATTTGAAGCTTGTTTGTTCCACTATTTTCCACCTGTTTAGTTTGTTTCTTTTATGGGGTCATTCACAAAGCAAGACAAAAAAGCAGAATTGGCAAAAATATATCTGAAGGTAGGGTAGTGTAACAGATCACTTTAAATTCCATTTTAGAAAAAGAAACACAGTTCAACATTTCCAGGGCTTTTGTAGTCTAGAATACTTGTAAAAAAACTAGTGGGTGAAAACAATGGGATGGAGCTCCAAAGACAGAGGCTGACATGTGAACTGTATAGTTTTAAAGGCATGAGTGAAGCAGGGATAAGGACCTGTTCCAAATAAAAGGAGACCAAAGAACCCAGAAAGGTCTCAGAAAGAACAATTCCTCTTTACTGGACTGCCTTGGATCAAAATGTCTGTAAAGGAGAATAGAACTTTCAAAGTGCAAGAACTTAGGTGTTGCTTTTCCGTTTTTCCCCAGCCATACTGTCTAAAGAAAAACTGCTGCGGAAGAGCAAGCCAGAAGCCCCAGACAGCAGCGCAGTTACAGAAACTGCCAAAGCAGAGAGCACAGAGCAAGCAGATTTTGGCAGGATTTCCTTGACCTTGTGCTCCTCAGCTGTTTGTTCTGAATCTCTTTCCCACTGCTCCTTCCTCAATAACAGCACCCTTGCATGGTTTTCTCCCCAGCACCTGACCTTGCCTTCTGGCCTTGAGGGCTTCAACTCAGTTCCTAATCGAACCTAAAAAAATAACTTTCTTTTTTTAAAAAAAAAATCATTTAACAATTCTAACATCTTCTATGAGATACTGTTAACTCTGCGCATTACATCCTCCTCTCCAGCAGCCTTATCCAATTAGACGTCGAAGTCTTTGGGGCAGAGACTACCTGCTACTCACATCTGCACGTGATGAAGTACAACAGGACTAACTGCTTGTTACAAGCACAATAAGTACAGTAAGTAGTGCCGGAAAGTGAAGCACAGACACACTAATGATGCCGAGTTTTCCATCTTACTACTAAGGGAGGGGCAACGTGCAGATTTTGTGAATATTACTCTTGACACGGGAACTTCTGATCCCCAAAGATAAGACACTTTTTCCTGTTTAAAACACAAAGCTCTTCTTACAAATGGGCTGGTAACTGAAGTACTTACCTCCTTTAAAGCAACAGAAACCTGAAATCACACAAATATGCTCCTCCTCGGGAGAAGCTACCAGATTTTTCTGCAGCTGTGACTGCCCTGAAAACCTCATCCCAACTTGTATTTTACAGGCTGGACAATTACTCAGATTTGTCTTAACCCCTTGGCCCCTGTAAGACTAAAAAGAATAATGTCTTCCCATCAAATCTAAGAAGTATGATTTATGGATATTTCACATGTGCTATTTAAAGCAAGCGTGGCCATCACTCAGTCTCAGCAGGCCATTGAGCCAACTCTTCGTCTCTGCCCTACAGTGACAATGACTCAAGACAAGTATTTTGCATAAAAATCCAGATGGCCCTGGCACTGAAATAATAGGAGTTTTACCAAATGTATAGCGGATGTTACAAACTAGAGTTGGCTCTCAACATTTAATATTCAGGATCTTAACATAAATCCTGTGAAAAGTGAAAAGCAGAAACCACAGCCTAGAGGAAAGGTGAAGCTGTGATGTGGGGACTGAAATAGCACATTGATGATACCTCCTGTCCTACTCCCAATATGATCCACACCATTTAACGTAAGACTAAAGCCACATCACAGACATGTACTTTCTTTGTAGCCAACACATTCAATATTCCTACCACTGCCTTCTCGTTCATTGCCAATAACTCTTGGGAGTCTGTGGTCATGTCCAGGGAGACTCAAACTTCTCCCCTGAACTGCCCAACCACAAGGCCATGAAATGCCTCAGTCCTACTCATTCCCCCAAAAGGAGAAACAAGAGAGGTTTTTTTGTTTGTTTTATCCAAGACATACACAAGTCACCTTAAATAAAGCCAGATTTTATTGACAAATTCAGAAGCAGGAAGAAATGCCACAGTAAAGTTAAATAAACACAAGTTCAGCTTAGGCTGAGAAATGTTTCTGGGGGCCCATACACGAAAAAACTTGTGACCAGCATTCAAAGAGCTATTCTAGCATATTCTTTCCCAAGCCTTTTTTTTCGGCACAATGTGCTACTTCAAAGGCATAAGATTTATTGAACTTATACTAATAGTCATCCTAGAATTTGATTATTTCATATTTTAACACAGTCTTTTCAGTGTGGCTACTTGAGCTCTTTCAAACCGGACGCAGTAGATAAATGCATGCAAATTCAAATGTATTCCTTTCTATGAGGACTGTCTTTAAGAAGAGTTTGTTAAACCTTCAATATTGTGCAAAATATTTCATAATGCAGCACTGGAAATATCAAACTCATAAAACTATGGAACACTTAAAATCATCAAAATTTACACACAAAGAACATGGGGGCAGGCTAGATAGTCTGTCACAATCTTTGA